CACATATTCCAGCTTGCAAGAATGTAATGATCCTACTACTGTAGGTGCAGGCTGATCAGACTTTACAACAAACACGATTTGTTACAAAGATAATAATGCATTGCTAGCTAATGTGAGCCCACACACATCCATCCACACAGATGAAGCCCAATGCTGCAGCAGTAATTGAGGAATTAATCTCTCTGTGTTTATGTATGTAGCTGCTTTTATCTGAGCTTGTAGGTGCCAGTGACATTTGCTCCAATCATTACCCTGCACACTTCAGTGTCACCTAATGTGTCCAACCACAAAACTAATGGCATTGTGAATGTGCTTGTGGCCAAGGTTCACCACCATAGTGATGACAACATTAACAGAAGCAAAGAGGAAACACTTAAGTCTAGCCAGCGTTCACATAGTCCTATTAGTATTCATTGGGTCATATAGATGCTCTCTCTCTCACATGCACACACACTCTTACAGCCTTTTCCTGTTATTCCACTGAGGGCATGCTAATGACCTACTACCACATTCATACTCCAGCTCTTAATACTAACTATTAAACCTTAACATGTCTCCTAACCTTCACTTTACTCCAACTCTAAGCCAGATGCTTGACCTGGCCAAAATAGCCTCTGCTCCTCTCAGTGCACACAAGGCCGTGAGCTGTGAACTAGCTGCCCTCTTTGGTTTTAATGAGGAATCTCATTAGCATTTTAATGAGGGAATCCAGGAAAGCTGACAGGCTGTTTTAAGGAAAAAGAAGGGCAAATGTGCAAGCCTAGTCAATGTGACAGTGTCTAGGGAAGAATAACCACCTTTAACTAAAGCACCTTTTTATTTTTTATTTTATTGGTTGAAAATTATTTGATGTTTTATTGTGAAACACAAAAAGAAAAGATGAATGGTGTTCATAAAAAAACATCTGTGTTTGGCTGGAACACAGTCTGCGCACTGAGAAAGGGAGTCTGCTTAAAACATGTCTTAAATAATAAATCATTTCATTTTAATAACTGTACCGCTGATGACTTTTGAGCTTTTGTTTTTGAAGATTCAGCACCCAGCTATATACTGAACACAGAGGAGCTGATTGCTTCTTTATCATCCATTCTTTATCCTCTTCTTTGTTGAGTATATTTTATATATTGTATTTAAGTCTGGTGCAGTGGTTAGCGCTGCCACCTCACAGTAAGAAGGGTCAGGGTTCGGGTCTGGTGCCTTTCTGTGCGGACTTCTCGCTGCCACTGCAAGCTTCATCCTGCAGTCCAAAGACATGCAGCTTAGGCTGATTGGTGACTCTAAATTGCCTATAGGAGTGAGTGATCGTGTGTGGTTGTCTATTCATATAGCCCCTTTTCCATTGCTTGGTACTGACTTAACTCAACTTGACGTGCCTTATTTGTTTTTCCATCAGTCAAATGTTGGGGATAGTACCTGGTACCTGGTATCACCCTGGTTTTTTTGGTATCACCTCCATCAAGGTTCCAAGCAAACAGAAGTGATACCAAACGGTGACATGTAAACACTGCAGACTAGTGATTGCTCAGAGAAATTATGTGATACCAAACGGTGACGTGTAAACACGTGAGACTAGTGATTGCTCAGAGAAATTACGTCATCAATGTGTGAGATGTCCTTGAACAAAGAAAGCTGCATTTTTAAAAGCAATACTATTTAAGGCTAACTGCTACTTTACTGTAGTTATTGTACTAACTAAAAACATTCCTAACATGAATCAGCTGAAACTGTGACAGTATATTGTTATTACAGCTTTTTTGCTGCCTCAAAAGGACAAAAATCAGTTATTGCATATTTAACATTTGTACTAAGGACATAATTACAAGGACTTAGTTGTTTATGCATATGTATTTGTTCATGGACACCACATTGGCTTTTACTGTTCTTTAGATGTTGAAACAATGGCGGTGTCCTGCAGTGACAGTGTCTGTAATATTTGACACTAACTGTGCATTAATTCATACTGTGATAAATATGTTCATGCCATGATACATGTGTTTTTGGGACAAGCAGTTACATATACAACACGTGTTAAATGGAAATCCAGTCTATAATCTTAGAAGTGCATTCTGCTTCATATTCTACATTGTTTTCTTGAATGTAAGTCTCTGCTGATTCTTGCAAACAATAAAGATTTGGACTTCCTGTCTTTCCCTCTCTCTTTGTTCCCTATTTGTCCACAGAATGATCCCGCCATCAAGCAAAAACTTCCTGGTCAACAATTTGGCAGCAGGGACCCAGTATGACCTCTGTGTGCTGGCCATCTACGATGATGTCATCACCTTTCTAACAGCTACACGTGTGGTTGGCTGTGTGCAGTTCACCACTGAGTCAGAATATATGAGGTGTCATTTTATGCAGTCGCAGTTCCTCGGCGGGACTATGATCATCATCATTGGAGGGATAATAGTGGCCTCAGTGCTCGTTTTCATCATCATCCTGATGATACGGTACAAGGTGGGTCTCTGTCTGTCTGTGACACAGAAGAGAGCTTTTCATTATGTGGGATGATTGACATTATTCTCATGGTGGCCATATACTGTCTTGGTCTAAATCAAATTGACTGGCATGTTCATGATTTTATGTGCTGTTAGCCAGTGTTGTATTGGCATCCCTTACTCCACCCTTAACTACATGATTTTTGTGTTTAATTTGAAAGTGTGATGTGCAATGTGGAATATAAGAACCTACACAGTACAGGATATACAGTTTTTAAAGTGCAGATGAAAAATGTATGCTGTATACCAACATACAATATATGCACCACTATACTTGTGCAGTTAACCTTTTCATTATTGGTGTTTACTACAATGGAAAAATAGTCACAAGTCACTTCTGACCATTTAAGATATAAGCTTTACATCCAGTGATATTCACGTTTGCATAATGCAATTTGAAATAAGTTAGCAAGTTTGACCTAATGCCAAAAAATGTACCCGATCACCACTGAATGAATATTAAGTGAAGGACTGGAGCACAACAAACAATAAACAAATAAGACAAAAATGGGTCAAAAGGGCCATAATACCAGGTCTTTAAGGAAATTTCAAGTTCAACAGAAATACTGATTTAATTTATATCATAATGTGCAAAAAAAGACAATATTTTTATCGATCATTGCATGATGAGTTTAGTTGTTGACATTTCAGTACTGAAGGAAGGATCAAAACCTCCCTCTTGCCCTCTGTTTTCTCCCTCAGGTGTGTAACCCCGGCGAGGGTGGTAAAGGCGTTTCATTGTCAATGACCAATGTTCACTCGCAGACCAATGGGCAGCAGTCACAGGGATGCACTGTGACTCCCAGCGTTTCTAAACACGGCTCAATCGGATTAGACGACCTCTCAGGAGGCACTAAGAAAAGGAGCGGAGCAGCAGGAGGAGGAGGAGATGGGGGCAAGGATACGGTGACTCAGTCGTCCGACTCATCCCTGCCTGACTGCTCCACAGCTACATCAGTTCTCAGCCAAACTTGGGGAGCCAGAAGCCCAGCAGCTGGAGCTGAGGAACAGGAGAAAGCAGGTGAAGTGAGAGCTGAAGCTGGCGTCTTGTCGCCCTCTGCCACCACTGGATCACTCCCCAAGCCAAAGCGGAAGCCCGCTCCAAGTAAGCCGGGCCCAGCTTGCTTAAACACCTCAGCTGCTCAAGAAAATCTCCCTTATCCCTCCCCTCACCCTCCTTCTTCATCCTCCTCCAACACCTCTTCCGCTCTCCTCCCCTCTTCTGGCCCTTTGGAGAACCTCAACACCAACCGCAACAACTCCACCTCTCTCAGCCAAACCCCGCCTCCTTTTGCTCCTTCTCCTTTCTCCAGTCCTCTCACCAGCCTGAGCCCCACTGTCTCCATCCAATTTGGAGAAATACCCATTCTACGCCGGGCTCCTCGCACCACAACCTCCTCCTCCTGCGCCAAGTACCAGACTCTCCCTGTGGAGGAGGGAGGGAGGAGCAGGGCGAGGAGGAGGTACTCACTCAGTGAAGGAGGCTCTAAGACTCATTCATCCCATCAGGGAGGAGGAGGAGCACCAAAATTAGGACGCATAATACGGAACAAAAGGAGCCAATCAATGAGTGGGATGCTTCTCCCTGAAGATGGGGATGGAGACTCGGACAACCGGCAGTGTGATTCAGACTGGATCTTAGAAAGCACGGTTTGAACCAGAATAATACAGCGACATAAAATAAACTTTGGTTTATTCATTATTGTTTATCTTTTGTATGAGATGAAGTGTGAGAATGCATTAGTTTCTGTTTGTTTATGGGTGTATGACTGTGAGTGTTTGTGATATGTTTTTGCCATCTAGAATGTGCATTTTGGTGTGTGTGTGTTGTGTCATCATGTTAGTTGGGACTGGATGACTGACTGTGACTGTGTTTTCCAAGCAACCATGTCTTCTTTCTCTTTTTTTTGTCATAACTCCTCTCCACAGCTCTTCGCATTCAGTTTACATTTTCTTCACTCTGAAAGTATCTGTTTTGCAGTGGGGTCATTCAGTGAGTGGATAACTTGCCTTTTCTCGTAGCGTCCTTGACTGATCTTGTTGGTCCCACTTTATAGCACAAAAGAAAACAAGATAACTGGCTTGCCAGGTCAGTTCCTCACGCTCACCTTATCTGAAAATACCACAAAAAGGGAATATTACAGGAAAAAAGAGGAATAAAAAAACTACAAGAACTGAAAAACACACCAATGTTAAACTTCACATGCCCACAGAAAGTGTACGTCCATATCGTGGCAAGAGAATAGCAGTCTGTGCCTTCTTTTGCACTAGCAGACCCTCTGACAGATGACATAACCAGATTTAGGACTCCACCACGGCTCCACAAATGAGGGATTAGCACCGAGAGGACAAACAAAGGAAGAGAGAGATTTCACACATAGCCTTTCATACCTTCTGAGGAGTACAGATGTTTTGTTGACATATAGACACAAACTGTGACAAAAGTAACAAACAGATAAAGACTTAAATGGACCTCTTATGAAATTGATATTTTTTAAAGGGAAGAATAAACAAAAAAGAACATATAAACCTTGTGAGCTTTTCACTGACACTGGTTTACTATAGCCTGTGTTGGTCACAAGCTCCTGGGAAGCTTCTGTACAGAAAAAGACAACATGTACTGTGTTGTTATGTTGTGTAAAATAAAAAGGGGATAAAATGAAACCTGGAAATGTGAAAAGTGTGTCATATACATATATGTTTAAAATATGCTTTACTCGTTTTCTGCATATTTACGTATCAGGGATGAGGAAATCACAATACGAGCTTTTAGAAACAGCAGTAATGTCTCCAGCATCTATTTCTACTGTGATGTCAGCAAAGACATATTCACATTTTCTTGTTTTCACTTGTCTTGTGATTTTAACCATCAGCTTTCGGCTAAAACAAAACTATATGTGCACACATACACATACTGTCTGGCTATTTATTTAGAGAATCTCATTTCTAAACCTTGTATTCTTTCCTGACTGCAAACGCATTGCAAAAAACTGCTCCCATGAGGCTCTGACAGTGTGCCAGTGAGGCTCGTGGGATATGTTGGCGAACGCTGATGAAAATGATCATTATTTTATCTTTGTTAAAATGATGAAGTGTTACCGTCCAGAACAGTAAATTTACTGAAAAATGCAGGAACACATTAAAGTCTTTGAGAAAACCTGTTGAGCAACACAGTCAAGCAAGCAGAATAAAAGCTAGATAAGAGAGGGGGCAGGACTTCAGCTCTCTGTATGTTCTCACACATACAACACTCTCCTAAAGTGACAGACCTTGACTTTGTAACGCAGCAGCTGCTCCCCACTCCACTTTAAGGAAACATGACATTGTGAGAAGTACTAATACTAATAAAATTTGTGTCCAATAGTACTGTAGGTCCAGAATGGTATTTATAAAAAACAACTTCCAGAACTCAGCAGGGTTTAACTCATATAGACAACTAGGGAGCTAATGCAGATCAACATTCAGTCATTTGCTAGAAAATCATGGGGAAAATGATATTTTTATATTATTTAAAAATAATGGTTGGACTTTTTTTTTTCCAATTACAAAAGTAAAATGAGCATTTTCTGAGAGTGCCCAGGGTGCCAGCAACAGCAAAAAGTAAAGTCAATTTTAAGGTCACTCACAACTGTAGTGTGGTTCAGTTGGTCTGGACCAAAGAAAAAATGTATATATAAAATATATATATATATACGTTGTTGTTTTTGGCTTTGATCCATTTCATGTTGATACTTATTCCAAACAGCATAAAAGGTATAAACATGGTGTTAGATGGAATGAAAGGTAAGATGTTCATTTTACTGTTTTGGCGAATGTCATCCTTACCCATGATTGTGTCAAGGACCCGCACAGGGAAATTACATGACATAATAAAACACCAGCACATACAGCACAATACAAATTTACTGATGTGTTTATCTTCTCAGTTCAGACAGCATCCAAGCTGATAGAGTAAGAACTGCCCATGTGTATTTATATTTGAGACTGCAACTGGAAAATGTAACTCATAGAAAAAATGGACAGAAACAGGAAAAGGAAAAGAAAAGAGAGGTCTTGTACTGTGAAGTACCAGAGCTATGATTCACTCATCAAAGGATAACCAACATACATAGAGTAGGACACCAGCAGAAACACCTTGGTGTTTTAACTCCTTTTCACTTTCTGATTGTACTCATATAAGCATACAGTATGTGCTAGTGTCTGACTGATGGTCTACACTAGAATATGGTTGACAGTTGTCACACCAGCCCAGACATTGCTTGAATCAATTCAAACAAGTGTCCAAATGCCTACACAATACTAAACAAGGACTTCTCAGTCTAGTTCCAAGCAAACTCTGGGGTGGTTCCCTTGCAGAAGAATAACTTTATAGGAGATATGCAATTCTGGTATGAATTCAAATGCTAAAGTACTATACTGATTCAGAATAGCTAAAGAGACCTTCTAGGGGGCCCATACTGAGCAGCGTATACATTTATATTTATGTTATCATCTTGTAATCATGTATGCACATCAGCACAGATGCAGGATTTTCCCTGAAATATCAGAAAGTGAAAAGAACTGAATTAGCGGTATGATGAGCTTGTGTTTCTCTGTTTGTTGTACAATTTTGACAAGCAGAAGAAGATACAAAAATGCATAAGCTGCAGCTTTTGATCCATCACCAGAATTTGATTTCCTCGTGTGGGTCCATTTATGATGATACAAGATGAGAAGCACCAAAACTGTCCAGTGAATGAGTTACCTGTTGGTGAATAAGGCTTCAGGTTTACAGCTCATGGTTTGTTTGTAAAAAGCTACTGTGATCTGGACCAGCACTACAGTTAAACTTTTTTTTGATTGGTCCAACTGAACCAAATGAACCAAACCAAGTGACCTATGTCCTCATATATTACAGTGTCACAAGTAAAGGCAACACATCAAAAACTAATAAAGTCCAAATTTCTCTCAATTCTTAAGCACCACTTTAGCCTGTTACTGTTATTTGTAGAGTATATCCTGTTACTCTACAAATACCCAGAAATAAGAATGTGTTACAGAGCACTGACACATTTGTACAGCAGCTCGTAAACACCTTAAAGTCTGTGATCATAGAGCAGCACCTACACCAGCAATACAAGCTGACGGCCACAAGCCAGTACGGGTGAAGTCACTCTCTGTTAACATCAAAGCACGAAACTGATTCACATTGCAATTAAATTACCGAAATGGCCTGACATGAAACGGTTCTAATAAAAGCAATGGATGAATGTTCTCACTTCAATTTTTATTCATTGCTGTTTTAATGAAGTAAACTGAACTGACTGAACTGATGGGGAATCATCACTGACCTTTGTGAGAAATGTGAGTGTTTATTCTGTTTCTTAGCAGTGGTAGGCTCTCACTAGAGGACTTCTGGGTTAAATTAGTAATAGAATCATGTATTACCCTGACAAAGTTATTTAATAATAAGAAGCGAGATACACATCCAAACTCTTGTGGGATTAAAGCCAGAATTACCACACTCCTGTCACATTTAGGTTCTCTACTGGGTTTTAAATTTCAGGACCTGATGACGCCAGCAGACATCAGGTGAATGTTTAAACAGAAACTCGAGTCACTGGAGAGTCATACGAGAAGATGAGAGGGGAAGCAAATTACCTCTCCACAATTCACCTTGTTTAATCTGCCTAAGAAGACCAAGTGCCACAGAAATGAGCTCACACACCCACAGTCTGTATCTCTTTAAAGAGACGTCAGTAACATACTGATTCATGCCTCCATGACTAACCTTCTAATGCCTTTCTTAAGCTGTAAATGCTTAATAGTAAGAGGCTTTGGACAATTTCCTTATCCATTTTCTCTCCCTTTCAGTTCCTCTCTCTTTCCTTCTCTCTCTCTCCCTCCCTCCATCGCTGTTTTTTTCATATATATTTTTTTTATATTTGGAGGATTTGGCAGCAGCTTTGCTACAGTGAATGACAGCTTTTATAACAGTAAAGGATTAAAGTAATAATCTGTGGCAATTACACTGCATTTCAACTAACAAAGACCGTGCCACATTCTGAATGAGGCACAAAACTAATGAATAAAGTTTTGTTGAAAACTCCAGAAGCACGTGATCTGTGACTGGGGAGCAGGCATATGATCAAGCCCCCAGCAGAACTTTGAGTCATCTGGTGGAAGCAGGAGCTGTGTGGCAACAGTACCGCAGAGACAAGAACCTGAAACTGAGGAAACCTTTGGGTTAATTGCATGAATGTAAACGAGTGTTGGAAAGACACACTAAATTAATGAGAAGAGGGAAAAGAGATTAGAAGAGAGGATGGACTAGATCAAAGAAATACAGGTCGAGTTAAATCACTGAACTCCGGGTCAGTGAGGTAACTTTGCTAACTAGAGACTTTTCTAAATGATCCAGAGTTAGTGATGTGTGGATCAATCCTGAAATATCAGTACTTTCGATCCCAACATTTCCTGCTCTAGGATCGATCTTCATGTTATAAGATCAATATCTAAAATAACTACATTATCACCAAAACAGGCTAATAATAGCCAGATGATAGGAACTACTTCTCCTTCTGCCTGTCATAGTCATATGCAAACTATGGCTCTGTAAATGCCCGAGCCACTCAGAATCAGAATAAGAGAAACATTTATTCTCTCTCACAGTAACAAAACAAAAATTCTTGAGTGGAACAATCTGGGTGCGGTCAGACACGTATGAAATGAACCAAGTGAGAGGGATCCTAGAGCAATCAGGGCTCAAATCCCCAACCCAGTAACTGGTGGACAACCTGCTCCCCACATTCAGTGTAGTTTCCCCATGAGTAATGAACACAAATGTGTGTGTGTGTGTATGTGTGTTTGTCTGCCTGCCAATGATCTGGGTTGAGTTCCTCCACCACGGTATCAGAGAGTCTTCTCACTGTCAGCTTCCCTGCACCATCTTATGCCAACCATATGGTAAGAGAATTTGAGCAGGTGTATCTTGTATTGTTGGCTCCATCTCTCAACACACACACTTGTACTTCTATCTTTGTAAGGACACTCATTGACATAATGCATTCTCCTAACGTAAACCATCAGAACTAAACCTAATTCTAGGCTGAACCCAAAAACAAGTCTTAGCCCTCAAAAAGCTGTTTTACAAAGTGAGGACCAGAAAAATGTCTCCACTTTCTAAAAATGTCCTCACTCTGTAGCCAAAAATATTTTTTGGTCCTCAATATGCAGCAAGTACAAAAACACAAACACACACATCATATTCTGGGGCTTTGTAGTAGATTCCTATTCTGAATTATTCATGCCTTCTGGAACAGTGGAGTTGTATGTATTTACCAAACACTAATTATTCTGCTTTGTATTTGGGTATGCTACTATTATTTATGTTGTGGGGACATCTTGCTTATTGTTGCTACTGGGATGTCAAGTCCCCACAATATGATTGTGTAAACAGCTTTATGTCCCCACAACATGTGTAAATGTTAAACACAGAATTTTAGACTGATGACTTGGTTTAAGGTTCGGGTAAGATTAAAGTTACTGTTAAGGAAAGGAAATTAATGTAAATTTCTGTAAAGTCCCCACATATGGATTGAAAACAAGCTTTATGTGTGTGTGTGCATGTGTGTTTGCAAACTTGTGTGCATGTTTTGGTCTAAAGTAACTGTCTTGTGTAGGATCAAATGTCACACTGAGCGATTAAAAAGAAAAATACAAGTAGGGACATAACCTAAGCAAATGGATTGTTCTCAAGAGCTCAATAACGCAAATATGTGTGCATAACAGTGAAAATTTTTTTTTGCCTGTTCTCCTTTGCTCAGAAAGCCAGAAGGAATGCTTAATGAGTGTGTCAGCATGTGCTGGGCAACGGTGGTGTTGTGTTTGTGTACAGGACAGAGTGTCAAAATGTACAAGAGGCAGGAAGTGCACTGTATGTGTAGCTTAGCTTGACTGTACGTGTCCGAACATTACCTCCACATCACCTCCAAGGGAATAAAGTGATACATTTTTGAACAGTTAGCAGTATCACTGAACACTGAACACATGTTCTGAAGAAATCAGAATATGCTATTTCCTGCTACATTCATTAGGAAGCTTTCCTTTTACAGCTGTAGATGCTATATACACTATTTTAGTATTTTAATTTGATGTGTCAGTCACAGTAAAGCTTGGGGCTTCCCATTATTTCCCAGCAAATGTTGATTAATGAAAAATGACTCACCTTAAATTTAAAGTTTTTCATCCAAAACTTGGTTGGGAAAAGATGAAAGTATTTTACTCATTCCCGCAATTTAATAAATGTATTTTTAGATTTCATTTATTTTGCTGCCTGTAACTGGAAGCCAGCTTCCCCTCCTCACTTCTTTTCCAACTCCTAAGCAGTCTTA